TTTTGGAGGGAGATGTTTAAGCTATTTCAGAAGGAAAATTGCTTCTTGTCTTTCTTGCTTACTGCATCACCAAATGTACCTCACAGTCACCCATCAGCAGGACTACTGGCCTGGCCATATTTATGTCAACCTTCCCTGAAACAGTTACACTGAACCCTCTTTTTATACCTCTGAGCCTATTTTATGGATGAACAAACTGAGGCTCATACATATTTGCAGATTTGCTGGTAAGTTACCTAGCTAGTGAGGGTAAGAAGTAGAATCCAATTCAGGTTTGCAGTATTTCAGTCTATGGTCTTACAATGTGCCTAAGGATTAATACCAAGTGGATTTCACTTCTTTTCTTTTATCTGGGTTTTAAGTGGGGAGGGAGGTCAAAGGAACGAAAGAGACAAATTAAAACAAATTCTCAAACAAATCACCCTGCCATTCTGCCTTTCTTAGTTCTTGATTTTTAATAACACTCCTTTGGAAAAGAAACACATTCCTTAAGCTTGGTATTTTCATGAGGGTTGTAGATTATAATAATTCACATCCATTTGAAGGTATCAATGAAAAATTATTTACTGTCATAGAAAACTAGATTAAGTTCAACGAGGGTGTTTCTGAGTTCCACTTTGACAGTAAAGCAGTTCAGAGAAAGATAAATAGAATAAAATTATTCCTTTTGGAAAAAATATAAAACTTTCATAAAAAAATCTGTTTCCAGCTCGTCAGTATGGAATTTGTCACTAATCATTTTAAACTATGCCCTTTTATGCTTCTTCTGTCTCTCTTAGCTTTCTGAGTAGGTCTTTGATGTAACAAAGACAGTTTCAGACAAGATTTCAGTTCATCTGGAAAAAAAAAAGGTTTAAGTCTGGAGGCAAAATGCAGTGTATTTAAAATTTATATACTCTATAATGCCTTTGTTCTGAACTTGAAGATCCTGCGAAACTTCTAAGCTGCCTCGCCATTCTCCTCTAAGCTCATTTGTTCATCTTCTGCTTAATATCATGCGACTGTGACTTTAACTGGTGGCTCCATCTTCTAGCTACATGCAGAGTCATGGCTGACCCTTCCTGATCAATTGCCAATCCATACAGGTTTGACTGATAAAAGAGCCAATTAGATTTAAGCAAATTAAGGGACATCACCAATGTCAACCACTTATTAAACTGAATGCTGAATTCCATGCATACAAAACACTAATGCACTGAGCCCCATTAAGAGTTGAAATCCTAACCCCATTAGTAACTCCAGACCTTGAAGGGGTAAAGGTCGTAGGAAAGTTTCATATTTATGGATTAACATTTGGATTCCGTTTTTATTTTTTTAATTCTTTTCCTAGAACTCTTGAACCTGCACTATAATGCTATTCAAGGGCTTGGATTAAATATATTCATTTCTAAGAGTATCCTAGTGCTAAATATGAGAATTATGTTATTACAAACAACCTAAAATATAGTAATTGTGGCATTACTAAAACCTGAGGATTCACAGTTTGGTAAGGATATGCAACACAATTGAAAAAATAACACAAACACACACACACACACACACACACACACACACACTCTCCTCCCAGTGATCAAATAATATGTCAAAAGGATTTTTAAAATAAAAAGGTGCTGTTTAGGATTTGCCACTGTTCAGTTATGTGCTAAGCTATAGGTTATGTGATCTCACTAGCCTTAATTTCCATTTTCAAAATAACTCATGTTTATCACATTGTTTACTCATATTTTTCTTTTTGCTTATTTGGTCAAAGTCAAGAATTTTATTTTTAATAAAATTAATTTTATTAAACAAGATTAGTAGCAATGGAATGAGAAGATCTTATTGGCATTAACTTGGATTTGAAATGAAATATTGTTGGATTTTGATTTTTGTGGCTTTATTCAGCTTGAGATATAAATGTGTTTAATTGAGATACAAAAAACTGCACTTTAATCATATTTTTGTCATTAAAAGAGGAAAACAGTATAAAATATTTCACACCCATCACTAAGAGATGATGCACCAGGCTAAAATTCTCCATACCCTATTGCTGACCTCTCCTTTCTAACTTCCTGTGAGAACTGAGGTCTGTTCATCTCATGAGAAAAGTAACTACATAGGGAAGGGAATTAGAGTGATGAATTGGTTGGATATGAGGAGAGTCCTTCCTCTAGTATGTCCACCCACTTTCTGGTCTGGTCCTCAATGGTATGTGGACCATGGCATCTCTACACTGGACAAGTAAGTGTCGAGAGGAGGTCATAATTCTCATTACTGGCTACAATATAAGGCTGCCCAGGTAGAAGTTGAGGTATGGGCAATCCCGAGCACTCATAAGCTTAGGATTTAAAACTGGTAAATTAAGCTATCTTGACTGATTTATTCATCCATTCACTCGTCCATTATTCAATATGCACCTATCAGGTGTCAGATCTAGTCTAGACACTGAAGATAAAAATATGAATAAGAAGCAGTCCCTGCTGTGTAGGACTTCTTAACAGTGATTGTGACAGCTCAGATGGGCAATTTCAACATGATATGACTGTATCTGGGCTGTGGAGAAGCCCTGTCACAGTCTTGGTTGGTAAAACATGACTTTCTGATGGACCACTTCTAGGCTGAATCCTAAAAAATGAGTTGGACTAGGAAAGATCAATGGGGAAAAGGAAAATTTTCAGGCCACGTTTGAGAGCGACCATTTGATGAAGAAAAACAACAGCTTTTATCTTTTCCCCAATAATCCCATGATTATGTTTTCAAACAACAAATTAAAAGACTACAACCTTGCATAATCCATCAGTGAACATAAGATAACATAGTTAAGAACCTTGCATAATCCAGCAGTGAAAGATGCTAGGAATTCAACATCCCCATAAAAGAGGTATAATATTGAGATCAAGGAAATGGCAATGATGATAACAATCCAGATATAATGGAAAAGCAAATAGCATAGAGAACCTTCTCTGCTGTAAGTTGGTTCACTTCTGTACCTCGGTTCATTTATTATTCATTTCGGTATGAAACACAGTTCACTGGACAAAGACATGGAAGATTTCTTTAATAACTCTCAGTACTAATTTAATTCTACTTAAACACACATATTCAAGTGAATGCCACATGCTTTTCAGCATGATTTTATGTGTAAATCAGGATAATATGTTTTCAGGTCATTAAGTAAAAGGAAGCATGAACTAAAACCTATTTAATCAATGAGGTATCACCTTTAAACTGCCACAAGGTCATAAAAAAGATAATTTCAAAGCTATAAGTTTCCTAATTGTAATCAACAACAATCTAATGATGAAGAAAAAAAGGTATGTTCTAATGGCAGTAATAAACTTCAGCATATCACTGTCTGTCTCTGAAGACGTTTTGCTTCCTCTTTGGTTGAAGGGTCATCTCCTAAATTCTGGATTTTTGAGTATAACAAGAATGCCAACATCACACCCAGAGAGAGTGGGCCTGCTGAACTTTTCATCCATAGGATGGATGAACATAGGCTCAGCAGCTGACTTCCATTCTACTGTTACACTCTAAAACAATATACTAGCTTCTTCCGGTTTGCATAATATTAACCCTTCTGCTAACTCACTGACAGATGTACTCACAATGCTAGCAATGGGATGTAATTATGTTTAACTGAATCATATAAATATATATATATATATGTGTGTGTGTGTATACATGCAATTCAAATTATTAGGCTATGTAATCTTAAACATATGAACAATTAATTAAATTAGTTCTATTTTGTGAATAGCATATAAACTGGTAAAAATTACAAACTCTCTAAATTAGTGTGCCGTAAAAATAGATCAATCATTCATTAAATATTTCATATATACAATATGAGTTGCTCAGTAACCTCCCCAATCTTTCAAGCAGTCCTTTGTTAAACAATGTGGCTTCTTCTATTTAGTTTCAAGTGTTTTAAAAAACATCATTCATTAATTCTGACAATGCCATAAATGGTAGATGGTGGTGAGTGGTTTTATGATATAGCAGCTAAGAATTATTTTCTTGATACAAGGACTCTATACGAACTGCAGATTAACAGCTAATTTTCCCCTTGTGAGGAGGTATTTGCTGCTCTCATATCCTTATGACTACAGAGGGATTTCTCTAACCTCACAGAATATAGCTAAGCTGAGAGAAATGTTCTCCCTTAGTCTACAACATATTGATTCTGAAAGCCAGAGATGGGGGGCACAAAACAGAGATGGGGGACTGGGGGTATATCGTTGGTATTTTGAGAAAATAGGTATTCCTGGGCATTCAACTGGCAATCATGCACTTACTATTTTAAGGCATTTCTGTACATATCAATCTGAGAGGGCATTTTCTTCTTAGCAAGTAGTTCCCACAAATAGTTAAATTAAGAGGAAGCATTAATATCAGGTCAAAATAATAATTCTGAATAAGTTAGATCAATTATTTTTCCTACAAATAATGAAAATAAAACCATTCAGATTGAATCAGTTTTCACCTATGAAAGTGACACTGCTGAACTGTAATCAGGACATAGAATTTCAAGGTGTTTTTATTGTGGGATGAGTTGGATTTTCTGATTCTATTACCTGTGTTCTGCCTTTTTATTTACTCATTTAATTTTTCATCAAATGGAAAGGATTAATAGATATTTAAACAAGTTCTTCAAAAGCCTGGAGTAAGAATTCTTCACATTAGAAAATTAAAACTCAAATTAGCAATACAAATTTTGAATTTAAGTGAAGTCTAAAACCCAAAAGCATTTCCAGGCTTCTTTAACATGAAAGAAGCAAGATGTGTGTGTGTGTGTGTCTCCATATACCCTACACAATGCAACAGTCCCAACAAAACAATAAATCAATATTAATAAGTGCCCCAATGCAATAAAATAAGACAACAACCAAAGCCACTGGCAAGACAATTGAGTCTTTAAGTTCTTTAAAAAATTGATTATAACAATAAGTAAGTACATTGGAGACTTAGATCTAGAACATTTGTATAAAATTAGATACCACCATTCTTCATAGACTTACCCCCAGATGGCATTGTAATAGCTATGGGATCATCTGTTAGCTGCTGTGGCTGTTTGAAGCCTCTATTTGTACTGTGTAGTTAGTAAAAGTATCTAAGCCATCTATGGGCACACAAAGTTTGCTCTCATCATCACTGTGTATGATTTGTGAGCCACTCAGAAGAGTGTGGTTATTGTATGCTGATTAAAGAAGAGAATTATTAAAATTAGTGCACATTTAACTACTCTTTCCTACTACCATGTGTATATTATTTTGAGTTCCTAAATACATGTTATGCTCTACTAAATAGAACCATAATAATACACATACCCATCCCCTCACACCCTGCCAGAGAAGTATTACTGAGGTACTGCCAATGCGTATACTTTTATTTTACTATTTTGTGAGTAAAATGTTCCCTGAGTTAACATTGTTTTCTTTAATTATTCATCACAGGGAACAGATAATGGGACTGATATTCTAAGATAATATAAAGCCCTGTCGTAAGTACCATGTATATAACTTCAAAATACTATGCAGACATACAAATTGATCACTTGATAGATTATTTACAATCGTTTGAAGCTTTTCAAATCCTTGAATTTTCTTTGATGTGCAGACTGGAGGAAATCACTCTCTTTCCCCTATAATCCCCCAAATAGAATGTTCTGGCCACATGTGAAAAGTTATCTTGCATTGCACAGTAAACCGAATGCAATGGTTGTCATATTTATACAAAATATATTTTATCACAGTTCAGTAGCATAGTATAGCGCAAAGGAAAGTACATAAGTTTGATCGCCAGGGAGTTCTGCATTTGAACCTGGGTTTGCCATCCTTGAGTACAGTGGTCTTTGCTAAATTATATATTTTTAAACCTTGGGTTCCACCTCCATGAACTGGGGGTGGAAATACTTTGAGTGCAATGTTATTGTGAACGTTAAGTGAGATTATTTCTTTGCAATAAACAACATACAATAAATCTTCATCTACAGCAGCAAGAACTGTGGAAGCTGGATGCTGAAATTGTTGTAATCCATACATATACTGAGAAGTTCAAACAAGCATTTAGAAGTAGCAAGTGATTAAAGTTATACAGCCTACATTTTGCTTTCTCAATAGCAAATCGTAATATTCTCTTCGCTCCCATCCAACAATATATAATCAAAATTCTAAGGTCTTCCAATTAACAAAACACAAATCTCATCTACTACCACTATACCATTCTTAGATTATTCTTCAAACTCTGAAATGAATAAAGACCAAATGATATAAAGAGGTATTTTTTTCTCTACTTAGGAGCATTTTCACGAAATGTGGGCAAGGTGGGCAAAAACTTTAAAAATATATAAAATTAAAAAAAATTTATAATGACTTGGAATGGAAGATGCTGTTGAAAATTTTATTGCTGCAAAATACACAGGTATAAGTATTCTCCATGGCCAGAAGAAATCTCTAGTCTTACAGAATTTATTATTGTGAACTTAAAATTGGCATATCCAAAGGAGAGGTTTATTCCAAAGGGAATAAATGGTACCTATAGGCTAAAACTTGAGAATAATAACTTCTATTTGTATTCAGTAAAAGAAGTAAAGACCTTTGCAGTTAAAGAATGACTTTAAGTTTCTAAAATGAAAACAGACAAGGGATAGCTCCATATGCGTAACACATATTAGCAAGAAGTTCTGAAACCTGCAAAGTAAACTTTGATATTTTCACGCTACATTGAGAAGATATTTTTAAATTATGCCATAATGGCTTTCATAAATTCTTTACAATTAATCAGCTTGATTTGATAGAACACTGAGCTGTTATTGCATTCAGGGAGTAGCCTTTGATAGGCATTAATAAGAAGATGCCCCAAATGTCTAAGACATGGTTCCTAGACAGGTAAGTTTAAACACAAATCCTTCTAACCACTGTGAGAGCAAATCACCTAATGCACATCTGAAGATCTCTCATTCCCATACTATCTAGCTCCTTGGAACCACTTTCAGCCATAGCTGAGACAAATGCTGTGTTATCACATGCCCAGTTGTAAAATTTCATAAAGGTCAGCTTATCCTAGGAGACCCAGACAGATGTTCAATTGCTTCTAAAGTAGTATAACTGTGCATATCTGCCACAGGTTGAAAATTCCAAGACAACAATGAAAATTCCAAAATTAGCCAAGAGAACACAATTTTTTATAAATGCCAAGTCAGGTACAGATGTAAGATCAATGAGTAAACATTTAATGTTATAATATTGGAGTTTTTTTTTTCCCTTGCATTTTGTTTGTTTGTTTTGGAAGCAAATTTCTAGCTAGAAAAAAAACCACTATTGCTAGCTTTGAAAATGGTGTATGGCAGGAGGAAATATAATAAGTACCACTTTATTTGAAGTTTCCCAGATAACATTAATACGTGGTAATTATACAATTAGTTGTAACATTAAGTTCTAGTTATAGAACAATGATTACTCAGTAATTATAAGAAGTATATAATTACTCAATAATTATGAGAAGTATGCAATTACATAACCATTTTGTTCAGCTCAAAAAAAGAACATGTACATCTCCAGGAGCCTTGCAGCTGAGTGAGTCGAATGTATCTCTTAGCCAGCAAAACAGCTCCAGTCACAGCCCAGGAACAACAAAAGGATCTCCACCTTCAGTCAAGCTCAAAAATGACTGTTCAAAATCCCACCAGGGTCCACAATTTCAGATCTTCATTCTTCCTGCCTTCATTCCCCTCTGTGAACTTTACCCACGTGAGCTCCTCCATATTGAGGGGAGCCTTACAAAGCAAGCCCTCCCTTCCCCCTTTTGGAAGGGTTGTGCTTTGCCACTTTGCCTGTATAAACTCTGTTTTCAGTGGGCTGGAAAATGCAGCCCCGTTGGTTCAGCTTCAAGAATCAAGTTAGAAAATGGTAACGATGAAGCACTTCCTATCACAGGTGACCATTCCTCTCTGGTTGCCCTCCGTCCTGACCCCATTTATAAGTATAAGTGGATAGTGCAGGCCTGGTTAGGCTTCTGCCTTTCTGGAACAACTCTCCACCACCCCACTCCCAGGCACTGTGAGTTTGAACTCGAGTTTCCTCATCCATGCTCTTTGGCTATGTTCTGACTCCTTGGGCTTGGCCTGGAGGTTACTAAGTTCTTTGCAGGATGGGGGGTCTATATCAGGGGTTGGGGCTTCACTTATGTCAAAATCATCTGGGGGACTTCATAAATATTCACATAAGTGAATTCCATTCTGAATCTACTGAGTAGCAGAGGGTGGGGTCCAGGGATCACGTGACACTTAAGCATGCTGAGCTACTTGCTGACCGTGGGGTTATTTCATCCATGTTCCAGTTGGTCTTAGAATAATGATCAAAATTCAATTTCTCAGCTTCCAAAAATAATTAGGTTGCACTTGGCATCCTTATTAATGATGTATTTAGATTCTAGCTTTAGGCTATAAGATGTTTACTCTATTAGTCAAATAGTGCATCTTTAGAAAGTGTAAAGCTAACTTTTAAATCTGTCTTTACAGTCTACAAAATCTACTACAGTTATTCCATAAGAAATTTCAAAATATGCATGAAATCATTTTAAGAATGAATAATCATTATTGCACATCTGAGAACCATAACTTCAGAACCTCCGCTCTCTCTCTCACTCTCTAACTACTGAAGATGCAGAAAGAGAGACTCTTAGTGTACTGGCTGACAATAAGTATCATAAGAAAAAAACCAAGTTTTGTACAGTACATGTTGCATTTTGAAGTTCTACATGATGTCGATAGTTCACATTCTAAAGGCTTTTCAAAGAGGTTAATTCAATCAGTCTTATATTTCTATTTTGATTTAAAGAAAAAGTGTTAAATGAAGGAAAAACCAAGATAAATCTCATGCCCAACAGATTTCACTTGTAGGGAAACTTTACATCAGCTTCAACCAGAAGTCCTATTAAAATGTTAACCACACAAATGCCCACTTTCTTTTTTTTTTTTTTTTTTTTTTTTTTTATAGAGGCATGCTTTATTTATTTGTTTGCTGGTTTGTTTGTTTGTTTTTTTGTTTATACATGCACTGGGTACAGTCAGAAGCGCGGGAGGGTGAGAGAATTCACCAGAGCCAGAGCGGGGAGCAGAGCAGGCAGAAGGACCGAAGTACACTGCTGAGGGGAGCAGCGGGCGGCAGGAGAGGTCTGCGCGCCATGTGGGACCCTCCTCTGGTGGCCGGGGAGCAGCCGGGGATCGAACCGGCGCCGCAGAGGCCGCGGGCAGCTTCGCAACCCAGCGCTCAACCGCTGCGCCACCGGGGAGGCCCACAAATGCCCACTTTCAAAGGCTAAAATCTTAAGCTTCTCATTTGTTGAATAGTAGGATATTTCCAAGATAATAATTTTTTAAGCAAAATCCAGCACAAATAGATATTTTCACGTCTATGATTCAGGGATGCGTGAATGATTTCAGTCTTGGGAATACCACCCGATGGGGTTCTCCAGATTGAAATAACATAAGTGGGTTTCCTTTCCCATTCTTGTTATAATCATTGTCACAAGAATTTTAATGCATCATATATTCCATAATTTTTTTTTCCTTTGTGCTGTACTGCTTTGACCTTTTCAATATTCTATAATTTGACTGGCTGGCCATTTCTCCTTTTTACAGCCTTATTAACTTGTGGGAAAGAGGTGAAATGAACAGCCAATCAGAATACATAATATTGCAAAGGTCAGCGTAGTCCTGTATGGTCCCGCCGTCACTGAAGGCTGTATGCCAGACATTAACATCCTGATATCTTATTCATGTGACAAAGATAGTAACAAGAACAGAAAATGGTACAACATGAATCCATTCTCACGACAAAGATTATAATGAGAAATGACATAGAACAAACCAAACGGATTCCTGTTACCTTGTGAGGATTTTATATGTCAGCCCTGCTTCTAAGTTAGCCCTTTTCTGAATCCAATCACACCTTAAGGTAGAAAAGGTGTTAACCAATTTTCCCACTTCCTGCCTTAAAAAGAAAATGCTGTGTTTTTCCTATATTGAGGTCTCAATTTTAGTGTTCCTGAGCTCCACCTCACTGTCACAGAATTCTGCCAATACTCAAATCAAAAGACAGTGAGGTGAGTGATGCATATCAGGGCAAAGGGGCAAATAAGTCCTTTATTGTGAGCTAAGAATTCTGATCACTCTAGATAGCAGGTATTAATATTTAA